GTCTTATAGAGGCCTATTTAAGTACGGCCTCAAAGGAGGAGATTAAATCTCTAAGCTATAGTACTATAGAAGAGATTCTTAGTACTAGAAATAGTATCGAGATAGATAGTAGTAAGGAAGATAATAAGGACTCGGAGGAGATAGCCGATAGAGAGATAGACTTAGACTAGGCTAACTAGCCTAGTCTTAGCTATCTAGGTCTAGCTTAAGACAACTATATTATAGTAGTATTATATATAGTAGTAGGAGTAAAGGGTATTAAAGGGGTTTCTTTATATAAATCGCTTTTAATTCTATTATAATCTAGACTTAGATTATAGTATAACTATATTAGAGAGAAATATTAAGTAATTATAGACTATTAGGTACTTTATATAAGTATACCGGTATTATATTATACTTATTAAGTAATTCTATAGCTTAGAATAGGTAGAAAAACTACTATAATAGTAGAATAGTAATTACTATTTTACTATTACTATTACTATTACTATTTCTCGAAGGTCCCTAGTAATAGTAATAGTGATAGTAATAGTAATTACTATAGTAATGTTACTATTACTACAGTAATTACTATTTACTAGTTTACTAAGGTTTTTACATCTCTAGTGAGCGCAGCCAACTGCTTAGATTAGACCTTATCTAGGGTGCTTTTAGCCTAGACAACATGCATCGTTATAATAATCCTACTAGGCAGATGTACGTCTCTAAATCCGCAATCCGCGGGACGCGGGACGCGAGGAGCAGCTTTAAGTCCGGCTTCCGTATAAGTATACCTTCCTAGCAGCACTACAGCACTCGCAAAATTCTTTGTAACGTTATCAACCGGACGGCAATGTAGAACTTCTAGTCAATGTCGACTTGTAGTTATCTAGAACACCCGGGCATTGTAAGTGAATAGGAGGATGCGGTATAACGTTAAACGTATAATAGTAGGGCAGGCACGAGGCACGAGGGGAGTAAGAAATCAAGCCAACTCAATTCATCCTGCTAGTAGGGACCTTTAGAAGGTCCACCGGCTTCCAAATAAGCGCTAGCTGCTAACCGTTATGTAAAGGATTAATGTGGCGCTTTTTACGGACCTTTAGAAGAGGCCACTTTGTATGTGATCGAAAGCGGTTTAGTACAGTGAGGAGCCCCTGTTCTAGACCTTCTAGGGTATAGACTTCAGCTATAGACCTAACCTATAGACCTAACCTATAGACCTAACCTGTAGACCTGACCTATAGACCTGACCTGAAGCTATAGAAGAAGCTACTATAGTTACTACAACTACCGCAATAGCCGTCGCTATTGCGAGTAAATACCTCGAGGAAGATAGCAGTAATAAGGAGCGGTAGGCATAACGAGAAGGTGAATCCGTACGTAAATACTAGCACCGCCAGTTAAGGCGTAACCGGCTATTCAAACTAGCGAGGATTTATAAGAAGGAGCGCTTCGACCTCGACAGTTATCCGGAGGCTAATATTGAGGGTAACTTCCGCTTTACAAAGCCTTAATTAGTAGAATTGGTGGACCTGCTAGATATTAGTTTAATCGTACTGCTAGTTAGACTCAAACTGCCTCCTACAACGGTGCTTTATATTGTCTATAAGCGGTTATCTAGTCTAGGCTTCTAGAAGGATATAGATAAGAAGTTTAGCTATTTAGCTACTATATTAAGTTATATATTCAATGCGGTTGTGTATAGCCTAGCGCTAAGGTAGAAGTCCTTCTTATTCTTTAACAAGAGGCGGCTTAGCAAGCAATATCTCCGGAGCCTAGCTTAGTCGCTATATCTATTAGTTAGAGTGTCTAGTGTCTTCGGATATATTAATAGCACTATAAGGAAGATTGCGAGACCTAGTCGTAATTAGAGGGTATTCTATAACGGCTATAAGCACCTCTATAGCCTCAAATTCCAGGGTATACAGCTGCTAGATAGCATACTGCTAATTGATGGTCTATATCTAGGCTCTTATAGTAATAGTCGACTAGTACGCGAGTCTAATATTAACTAGGTATAGTATAAGTTGTTCGACGACGAAGAAGACAAGCTCTTTCTCTTTAGCGACTCGGCATATAGATAGGTTAATAGCATTATTAGATCGTAGAAGTCGAAGAGAGGCGGCTATCGTAACCCTATATAGGCGCAGGTTGCGAAGGAATAGTCGGCTCTACGACAGTCGGTCGAATAGGGGTTTAGCGAGGTAACTAACAACTAGCCATTCTTCGAGTATAAGAAAGGGTTGCGTACTAGTTTGATGCCGATAGGATCCTGCTACCTAGTAGCAGTATTGCTCACTAATTGCCTGTCTTGTTATCGTAGAAACAAGGTCGCTACGCACTATAGTTTAAGCTGTCCGGATATTAGGGATTACCTAGGTACTAAGTTTGAATTGCTACCTATGCCGCTAGTGGATATAGAGGTGCCGGATCTAATACGTGTAAACCCTTCTAGTAATAGATTAGAAGTTGGAAGTGATGTAGAAGATATAGGGGATGTAGTTATTAATAATAGTAATAAGGAATAGTAAAGAATAGTAAAGAATATCGATAGATTAGTAATCCTAATTATAGCTCACTCTTCCGCGTTCTCTTTGTTAATCCTCGGATTAGATGCGGAGGGGCTTCGGATAGCCGTTTTACTATAGTTATAGTTACGTTAATTGCTTCTAAGTATCTTAGTAATAGACAGAGGCAGAGATAAAGCGGGGGTGCATAAATTTCTAAAGGTCGTCGAAATTCAATCTTAGTACTAGCATTATAACTAATAGTATCGAAGGCAGTAACAACTATGCTAATAAATTCGTAGCTCCGCTAGGTTCCTTACCAATTCCGGAACTAACGAGCACCTAGAATACTATATATACTATATACGATTCAATCCGCCTCGCTTAAGTCTAATACCTCGATTATGCGAATATCTACGCACTAACGGCTATCAATCTCTAATATCTAATGCTTCTAACACCTACGAGACAGTTCTATCGCTATCGTAGCCGTCGTTACCATTTCCTATTAGTGTAAGAACGTTAGCAACGAGGCCATCGTCTAAGTCTACGCTAAAGTCGGTAACCTACGATAACTGCGAAGGAACAAGAGGAACGTGTCTAACACGTCTAACACGTCTAATAAGAAGGGCTCTTAGCTTATTAAATTGACGTACCGTAGAGGCGTACATCAACTTTATACGCTTCTTAGAGCGGTTGTCTATATCGTCTATACGACGCATTAAATAGTGGTCTGCCTCCTTAGTAGAAGATTCAACCCTTAGTCGCTTCGCTAGGGTAGTAATTGCCTCTCGAAATAGCTCTAATACTCGACTTAACGACCTCTCCTTATTTAGCTGCCTCTTACTATCGATATCTAACCGCCGCCGAGTCGTATATATTATAGCCTTAGAAGGAGAAGGAGAAGGAGAAGGATTTAATAGCGTCGATAGCGCTAGAACAACTGCTAGACTCGGTATCGAAGGACTCGCAATAATAGTAGGAGGTGGCTCTTAAAGCCGTTAAGACATAATACGGAGTATATTGTCTTAGACCTGCTAAGCTAGAGTCTTATAACTACGCAACTCCTTAGTAGTGAGTAGCTTCTCGCGGAGCTTCTTATTGTTCAACAATATAGTATCCTTAAAGCGATTAAGTATCTGTTTAAACTCGGAGTCGTTAACTACTATACCGGAAGTAGTAAGAAGGGCTCTACACTCGAGAACACGCTTCGCAATCTACCTGCGAATAAGGCTATCTATACCTTTAATAGTACGTTGTCTAGCCGGCCGGTTGTCGTTATACCACTTCTAATAGCGCTTTATTATATCTCTTATACGACCTTCTATATAATGGCTAGAATTGGCCTCGAAGTGCCTTACAATAAGTAAGGCAAACTTATTAGATATGCGGCTATTACCTTAGACTCGGTTATAGTCGTCTTCTATACCTTCTAGCTAGTTAAAGTTATACTAAGAGTCTTCAACATTACTAGAAGACTAAGAGTCGCTCAAATCTAGTACAGGCTATTAAGCTACAGCCTATTATTATTGTTGCCGCTAAAGGTAAGCCGTTAAGGAGGTGTCTACGCCTCTAATAACGACCGGCCTTAGTAGAGTTGAATTTAGTGTCTGTTTAGTAGCTACACTGCTATAGCCGTCGCCGTCGCTATAGCTTAATTTAGTTAACAAGCTTGCTACGGACATAGAGCGACTATATAGTAGTAGCCGCTTAATAACTAACCGAATTGTAGGTAATAGACTTCCGAGTAAGTGCTACGGCAACGGTAATAATAAAGACATATCTATATAAAGAGGTAGACCTTAAAGAGCTACTGCAATAGGTATAGGCGGCGCCTACAGTAGTAGATAGACTAGTATAGCAAAGGCAGTAGAAGAGCCGGAGCCTAGGTCGATAACTCGAGAGGGACAAGATAGGGTACTAAGGGTAGCGAGGGTAGCTATAGTCGAGGAAATAGTGTATTTAGCTAACAATCTACGACCTCTACTGCCTCCGAGGTGCCTCTTATCCTAGGACCTATACTACTACAATTACTAACCGCTCTATTCTACCTCCTAGCTTCTAATTACACTAACGGCTATATACCTAGACCTTTATATATATAAGCTAGTGCCCTCTCGCACTATCTCGAAGACCTAATAGCCACTTTCCACCTCACCGTCGCCGGTTATAGTATATAGTAGTACTAAGAGGCCAATTTGCCTTTAATAAGCTAAGCCGGTTAGGGGTCAAGCCTCCTTCTATATTCTTCTACTACCTAACTTCTTATAGTTAATGAAGGAATACAGCCCCTACAAGTTGTCAATATAGCGTCTTATATACTTTTGAATGGGCCTATTTAAAAGCACGGTCTAGGTCTACGAGTCGATAACTCGCAGGGGTAGAAAACCAGCCTTCGAAGGATGCGGCAGTAACCCTCGTATCCACCTTATTCGCCGACAGCGTGAAATTGGTGGCTTCTGAAGGTCCTTAGTAGTGTATACCATAGACAAACACACAAAGAACAGAACACAATTCATGTCCAAAACAATCCTCCTCACCGGCGCCTCCCGCGGCATCGGCCTCAGCATAGCCCACTTCCTCCTCTCCCAACCCTCCAAACACAACCTCATCGCCGTCTCTCGAACCGAAGAACCTCTCCGCGCCTTACAATCCCAATACTCTTCCGACCGCGTCGGCTACCTCGCCGCCGACCTCTCGGACCTTAGTATTGGTGAGGAAGTCGTGAAATTCGCAATACAGAAATTCGGAAGACTCGACGGCGTGATTGTCAACCATGGAGTTCTGGACCCGGTCAAGAGAGTCGAAGACAGCACGGCGGAAGAGTGGAGGGATGCGTATAAGATAAATTTCTTCTCGGCGCTTGCGATTGTGAAGGCTGCGATTCCTGCTCTTAGGGAGAGTCGGGGTACGATTCTTTTTACGAGTTCGGGCGCCGCTAGTAGTTCTTATTCTACTTGGGGCGCTTATGGGAGTGCGAAGGCGGCGATGAATCATTTGGCTGCTACTTTGGGGAATGAGGAGAAGGAGATTACGAGTATCGCGATTAGGCCGGGTGTTGTGGATACGGAGATGCAGAGGGATATTAGGGAGAAGCATCGGGGGAGTATGGACGTGAAGGATGTGGCGAAGTTTGCGGAACTCAAAGAGACCGGAGGATTGTTGAGGCCAGAGCAGCCGGGGCATGTTATGGCGAAGTTGGTGCTGGATGCGCCGAAGGAGTTGAGTGGGAAGTTTTTGACGTGGAATGCGGAGGAGTTGGAGAAGTTTCAGGAGTGAGAAAATGCCTTTTTACAGCTACATTGCTATCTGATCGAATGAGAGCAACAGCCTCAAAGCAGGCGATTCGAATAGCATGGAAGTACATGGTACAGTGAGGAGGGGCACAGGGCTGAAGAGTCTGATGAGTCGTCAGCAAAAGGATCTTGCAACGAGGCTGCGGCTTCGAGAAGAGGAGAGTGCTGATCAGTTGAAAGATGAAAAGCATACATTTTGTTCAACAGGAGGCCGTGAAGACCTTCAGGTTTAGCATGGAATGTTTTGTTGCATCATTGCAGCAGAGCTTGTGGGCTCCAAGGAGGAGGGCTGGGTGGATGACTTACCAGAAGAGAAGGAAGAATCGAGAGCCAGTCACGCGGATTAATGTCAATACCTACCTATTCCAAGTTAGCGACATGCTGCCTATTCTGGACGAAGACTGTCGGTATGGAAATATACTCCAATTATCAGGTAATCGAACCATAAGTTTGTTCCGTCATGAAAGATCGGTATTTGATAGTACTCTTGTTTGCTCATCATGATGTCTCGGGCAGCGAAAGGGAAGTAGCATACCTTTCGTGTTCAGAAGAAAGACCACCACAACACTACGAGCACAGTATGCACCGCAGCAGTGTCAAGTTCTGCTCGCAAGACGCGGTCACAGATCCCACAGGCGCATCGCGAAAGTCCACAATTTTTGCCGCTCTGAAGTCCTCGAGCTTTTTAGGCACCACCGCTATCGTTCGTCGTCGATGTTCGCCGCCATGTCCACTATGTCTTTCGGAAAGTTAGCCCAAATTCCATGATGCGCTTCGAGAGGAAGAATTTGAGAGGGATGGTTTCTTTCAGCCAGTGCTTTGGCGGCACAGTGTAATCACCACGGGTTTTGGGTTGTGTATGATAGGGGCGACAACGATGATCATCATTGAAACAGGAGATTAATCAAGAGTTGGAATACATACCTGTGGCACCGAATGTGACCGAGTCGAAGGATGTTGTGGTGGTGGTGGAGATGAAGGTCGAAGGAAGCTCACCAGAAAGATTTCGGCGAAGGGAACACACTAGCTCCGCATTGCTTGGCATGAGAAGGTGCAGCCTGCAGCTGCGGCGCCTGCCGCTAGCGTCACAGGCCTTTGTGCCAGTCACAGGTCGAGCGCGAGGCATAAAGACAACAACGCGATCTTCACGACCGACACTCCACAGGCTTCCCTAGGAGACACTGCAAACGCAATATCAACCACGCCAGATACTCACACCCCCGCGACCATGTCCGACAAAGAATTCGGAGGTATAGTCTCTGCACTATATAAAACTCCTCGAACGCTGACATTTGCAGGCAACGATGACCTCTCCCTCCCCAAAGCCACCGTCCAGAAGATCATCAATGAAGTACTCAACACAAACCCCGCGCTCGCCGAATCAGGCCAGATGACATTCGCGAAAGAGACCCGAGACCTGCTGATCGAGTGCTGCGTCGAATTCATTACTATGCTCAGCTCGCAAGCCAACGACATTGCAGAGAAGGAAGCGAAGAAGACCATTGCATGCGAACACATCACAAAGGCACTAGAAGAACTCGAATTCCCAGAGTACGTTCCAGAACTCAACAAGGTCGCTGGAGAGTTTAAGGTGGAAATGGGAAGGAGAGAACGGAAGCAGACCAAGATCGAACAGAGTGGCATGAGCGAGGAGGAGTTGCGGAGGATGCAGGAAGAGTTGTTCAAGAGCGCCGGCGATAAGTATACTGCGGGAGGAGAATGAAGATGTGATGCGACGCGCGCAACGAGGTGATGAGAGCATGAATTATGAAAGCGTGACTTCAGCAGGCACTGAAGCACAAGAAAAAAATGCGTCTATACCGAGATGTAATTTCGAACGGAGAGTCAACGCCTTGCATTGGCGAGCAGGAGGCACCGGCTTGATGGCACATTTTATGCAGCTCGAAGCCCTAGCGCATGTCATTTGCTGCTTTGAGAGGCGCGAGAGGAACACTTCTGAGCCCGCGATGAAGAATGGCGTGCATCGGCGCCGCTTAGCAGTGGAAAATCAAGGGACCATGCGGCCACCGTGCGACAGGACATATGCAAAAAAATGCCTGATTCCTCTTCTTCGCACTGCAGTGTAATCGCATTCTTGCTTTTGGCGTGTCTGAAAGGCCAGGAGAGCGAGGCAGAGGGACTGCAGTCAGCGTGGTTACACAAACGAGGCGGAGAAGCTGTTGGCAGTTGTAATCGTTATCTTAGGCACAGTCTCTCCTTTCGCAACAAACCTTCCTTGATATTACGGCTGGCGGGCAGGATAGTCCGGAGCATCGGCCGGTCATGAAAGATGCTAGGACGCGAATACGAGTACTGCATATCGCCCTTACAAGAAAGAAGCAGGGAATTCGAGACGATGACGAAGAACTTCAATGCACGTTAACGGTTCACGACCTCGACTGGACTTCGATTGCATTTCCCACGACAAGGACCTTTCACAGAGCTTAACGACCTGGAAGTCGTTTTACGTACCATGCTATTCTGGTATGAACATCGATCTATACTCCCAAAGAATCAATCCGTCCAAGTAAATACTCCACATGTCGATAACTCGCAGAAGGCTGATATTGAGGCGACATGTGTCCAGCCTGAGCTACAATGACAAAAGTAAACTTCCTTTCAGTGTGCCATGATCCGAGGATTCCACCTCCGGCCGTGCTATCTTCAGAATATGGCACGAAAACTTCCTCCCACTGATCAGGTCCAACACTAAAGCCTTGGGCTCCAAGCCAGGTCATGTTCTGGATTGCCGCGATAGATCCGTTGACAATAGGCACAAAATCTAGCATTCCATTCGCGAAAATTGTGCGTGAGCTTTTCTCTATGACTCTGCGTAGGACTCCCTCCACGATAGGGGGTGATGTGTCGTTTTGGAGTAAGTTGTGGTTGCAAAGCTCCCATCCTCCTATCGGAGCATGAATCACTTTCTGCACGTCCGTGCGATTGAAGTAGAGCCCGGACTTTGGCGCAGAAAGAAGGCCCATGACGTCCTGAGGGAATGGGCAGAAGTTTGAGATGTGGTACATGCTGAAGCAAGGATTGACCAGGGTTGCTGCATCGAGAACGTCGTCCTGGTACGATTATTAGCCGATGAAAGCTCACATGGTGGAAGATGCTTTACCCATAATTCGCATTCCTTTGGCGGGTGCTCGTGGTCTTCGAAGAGAGGTGGGATCGGTCCTTTGGGCGGAAATGTGAACGCTGCTTGCAACAATTCGTCATATTTGCACTTCTTCCATCTCTGGCGTGTATCATTCATGAATGTTCGATTCAAGTTGAAAAGACCTTGCCAATACTCCACGAATGGAAGCAATGGAGTCTCTCGGCCAAAGGTTTTTGTGGAAAGCGCTGCATCGTAAAGTAATATGCCATCGACATTGAAATTCTCCGAGTCGCTCCGATTGTACATGGCATCAGCAATATATGAGACACTAGTGATAATCAGTCAGTCGAGCTACAATATATACCCAGTCCGCTTACTAGTAACCAGCGTAGGACTCGCCGGCAATGTATATCTTCTTTCCTCGTAGCTCAAACGTGTCTACGAAATGCTTCCAGAATCCGAGAAACTGCTCTGCCACTTCTTCTTCATTCTTTGGAGGTGGCGGCGTGGCTTTGACTGGCGAAAAGCCGACGCCTTGGGGTTGCTCGATCCAAACGACATCTGTCAGGTTTGTCCAGGACCATGAGTTTCTCACTGGTTCAGCTGTGCCAGCTATCCACGAAATCGGTCCATTTTCTTGCAGAAATCCCTCTAAACTGGAACATCCTGGGCCACCGTTGAGCCAGATCAAGATCTCTTCGCTAGGCTGGGCATCTTGCCGAGGGAAGTACCAGAAGAAGAGCTCACTGCTGTTTGCATCGGCGGAGATCGGTAGCAGACCTGCATAGCTGGTACCCACGTCAAAGTTCACTTCTGGAAGTGCGGTCCCATTGACTTTGAAGTCGTCCTTGCTGTAGAGTGTCTGGCCAGCTAGGATGCTTTGTTGGGCTGGGAGAGATGTAAAACTGCTCAATGCTTGGGCCTTCATATTCTGGCTGCATCTGGATTGAGGTCGATATCTATATATTACTGATGAAAAGTGCCTGGAGCACTTCAGGCTCGACTGCCATCCTGTCGTTCATTGAGCTCACTGCTCACTGCTCAGCAACTTCCCATGCCTTGCCTTCGAACTCTCATCCATGACCACAAGGATTCGAAACGGAGAGTGCGAGTACGAGTGCGAGTGCGAGGAACAAAAGTCAATTCATCGTGCTCCCGCGTTGTAGTCGTGCTTCAACAAGGTTTGTCGAACGCGATTCCAAACATTCTGACGCGACATTGTGCTTTGTGTCCTTCACTACCGTATCCTGTGTCATAGCCACGCCATCTCTTCTGCCCCTATCGCACAAACAGGAGGAAACCCAGTGACGCAGTTCATAACATCAGCTCAGCAGTCATCCAGTATGGACCCATTCGCTCGCATCGCGTGGCTTGAGCAGCAGAACCAGATGTTGTTCAATGACGGAGCCAAGCAATATGCTGAAGTTCAAAGGCTGTCCACTGCGCTACAGAACACCCAAATGGAGAGAATCGCATCGCATGAAGAATCTATCAGCTTGGCCCAAGAAATTTCAAGACTGTTGCCTTTGCAAGAGAAGCTGGAGAAGCTGACGCGAAAGAGCGAAGACGAAAGGAAGGAAGCATGCAGATTGCGACTCGCGCTTGACGCTGCTGACAAGAAGAACAAGCAATTAGAAGACGAGAATGCGAAGTTGAAGACCAAAGAACCTGAAAAGGACGACTCCGGATATATATCGGACGGTTGGGAAATGTATCAAGAGTATGATTTATTCGTCCCTGCGAAGAAACGAAAATTGGGCGAGGATACAAGGCAGTTTGTGTACGAGGATAGATTTGGTGATTTTAGCTACACCACAATCAGTGATTCCGAAAGCGAGGACGAAGCAATGCACGTGTTTGACGAGCACATGAGGAAGGCGATGGAAAAGCATTGGGATCTGAACTTGCAGCAGGATACAAGGCTGGACCCGGGTGCCTTTGGGTGGTTGGAGGAATGGTGCAAGGACAATTTAGACCGAATTGAGCAGCTTCGAGCGAAGGAAAGGAGTGCAAATAAAAGAGAGGTAAGTAATTTGGCGAAAGAGAAGGTGAATATCAAGCTGGATATTCGGCGATTGGAGAAGCAGATCAAGCAGAAGAACGAGAGGAAGAAGACGGTGTTGAGAAAGATGCTGGTTTTGAGTGATGAGGAAAAGCTTCATGCCGATGGAGGCCTGGCGGTCGAGAAGAAGTTGTTCTTGTTTTGCAAGGTCATGGGTCGTCCAGAGTATGATTTTCGGATGGGCCATTACCCTTTTGTCAAGAAGGAGAGGGACCTTGTGAGGTGAACATATCTCATGTCCGGTCACACTTGTTGGATGTCGTCCTGACATTGTTATAGGATTTATCACCAGGTCATGAGCGCCATGAAGGTGCTACACGAAGATGTAGTAGAAGCACCTAAAAGAGCGGACAAGAAGTTCAAACATCGGAATCCTTCGCCACCCAAATGGCAGGTGCTGCAAACCCGGACAGATTATCGAGGCCGTCAATCCAACTCTTTGGAGGAGCAGTACGTCAGTAATGCGACGGATGCGAGGATGGCGTGTACGGCTTTGCAAACAATGCTATGGCTGTGGCAGGAAGGGCGTATTGGCTGAATGATAGAGACTTGCCTGTGCTTGCGATCGTATTGAAGTTCCTTGGGCTGAAATCAATCCTGAAAGAAGACTTGCGCGTTGGCCAGAGGGCAAATCACTCGGCAGGCGGTACCGGATCGCTCGTCCCAGACAGGCGAATGAACTGAATCCGTCAGGGCTGGCGTCGCGTCGGAAGCTGCTTACCCAAGGTCAGACATTCACCCGATAAATTCGGGCCCGGCCTCTTCTCTGTCTTCAAAAGTTGTTCCGCCCGCTCCAAGAGCTTTGTCATTGCAGAAGCAATATACCGGCTTTCAGAATAATATTCGGTCTCTCGCGCTCGCAATATGAAGCAGTATTACGCATGATGGAGATCCTGTTGGCAAGATATATGCTCGTTCGCTGTCGTACAGCAATGTCTCCAGAACACTCTCGCATCATACCTTAACAACTTCAAGAACCCTGCATTCACTTTCAACTTAACATGTCTTCTCTCAAACCAATAAAGATCTGGGGCGAATCAAAAGCAAGCACAAAGACCTCATCACTCACTCCGATCAAAGCTAACTAGCCCGCAACCCAGACTCCCAATCCCTGGAAAGTCCTCATCATCCTCGAAGAGCTACAGATCCCCTACGACCTCAAGGAAATCCCATTCGCCGACATCAAGCAAGAACCATACATATCTCTCAACCCCAACGGCCGCGTCCCCGCCATCGAAGATCCAAATACAGGCATCACGCTCTGGGAGTCAGGAGCCATAATCGAATACCTTATCGAAACGTACGACGAAGCAAAGACTTTGCAATACACCTCATTCCCAGAAAAGCATTTGCAGAGTCAATGGTCGTATTTCCAGGCTTCGGGGCAAGGACCGTATTTTGGTCAGTTGGGATGGTTTTCTTTCGTAAGTAGAATCCTCTTCCTTCTCCACCCACCTTCAACAACCTGACTAAGACATTTACTTTCTGTAGTATCATCCTGAAAAACTCCCGTCTGTCCTTGACAGGTATAAAGCCGAAGTTCGCCGCGTTTTAGGCGTGATCGATGCTCACCTCACCAAAACCCGGCAGGAGTATCTTGTTGGCGAGAAGTTGTCGTATGTGGATCTCATGTTCGTGCCTTGGCATGAAATCGCGCCGAAGCTTTTGGTGGGTGAGGGTTTCCTTGAAGAATGGGAGAAGACTTGGCCGAAGACGTGGGCTTGGCATCAGAAGTTGATGCAAAGGGAGGGTGTGCAGAGGACGCTGGCTTTGAGGGAGTCGAAGTAAAGTCGTTTCGCTCACTCTGCAAGGGACATGTAGGGTGGGTGAACCGTAGGTAGGCGAACAAGCGACTCAGAGGGTCCATCGTTACACTATTGCTGCATGCTTTGACGATCCACAGTCTTTCTCGTAAATAGTGTTACAGATGCTGGTGTCGTAATCATGTCACAGTCTTTGCTTACCCCAACGCCTCGCTATGTTGATGTAGAAACGCCAATCATTCGCTCATGTTTTACTTGCCTCCGCCCTTTCTCTCGCTTCCTTCCTTCGCTGAGCCTGATTCGCGAAGAAAATCTTCATTTGGTCCATCCTTGTCACAAAGAATGACTGTTTGTGCGCAAAATCCTTCACCAGAATTCCCAGCGCTTCTGCATACTGCACTGCTTTTTCGTAGTCCTCTTTGCTTCCCACTTCCCTGATAAGGTAACCCTTGGTGCTCGTCATTCTTTCGCCCTCAATCTGCCAAAGTCTTATCTGATCGACAACTGTCGGCGGCAGAATCGGTGCATTGTGCATGGAGGCGGTACGTCGGAGGATCGGATGTGCGTGTGTCTGGAGGTAAGAGATAATCTGGTTACTCGTGATGCCGGAGGAAATCGCAGCCTGGACCGAAGTTTTGGTGATCTTAGCAGTGACAAGGTTCGGATAGCGCGTGTGCAGACTGGCAAACAGGCTCAGAATGCTGATGAGAAGGGGCGAGTTAGTGTAAGCATAGAGACGGTAGTTTGTCTCAAGTATGATGAAGCCTTTCTCGTTCGCCGAAGCTGCAAGATCATCGTTGCTGCTGGCAGAAACCGTCGTTGTGGTCGATGTATGACTGCTGTTGAGCAGAGCTGGCGCATCAGATGTCAGTGTGGTCGCTAATCTGGTCGGATAATATCGGTCTGATTGTTCCGGGTGGAATATCAGACCAAGATCTGATAGATCCTCAAGCATCTGTAGTTGGGTTTTGGTGAGGTTCGACGTCGAATATGATGTCCCAAGTTCTAGCGAGCCGAGTGTGAAAAGGAACGAGAGGACGTCGACTGGGTCCATAAAGCATTCCTGGGACTTCATTGTTAGTACAAGACGGGCTCGTTGCAGATGTTGGAAGCACCAGGGCACTTACTGTTTCCGACGTTTGAAGGTATACAATGAGTAGAGACCAGATCTGCGCGTTCACGTCTTGTAAGAGAAATGTGAAGCCATCCGTAGTGATGAACCTCTGCCGGCCCCCATTCTGCATTTGCACAAACTCCCCATTTTCGAGCAGCTTCTTTGTGCTATTGTGGACATCCATACCGCCGCTCAAGGCAGAATTGGCGCTTCCTACGACATAATATAGTATAGTTTCCCACTGCTTCCGGGCAAAAGTGTCCAGAAATTCGATCGTCACTGAGGATTTATCTGGTGTGGTACATGGCACTCCAAAACTCCTGTGGTTTCCACCGCCTGTCAACGCCTGTCTCAAGCTCTTCGAGAATGCTGGATTGAGTCTCAACGCGGGACGTCCTTCGCAGGTGTCATCGAACAGAATACGCAGCCGATTGAGTATCGACAACGCACGCTCCTTCGCCTGCGCACTGTCGTGCTCGGGCTTGACCCATGTGTCTAGATCTGCCACACTGAATGGCGTCGGCATATACAGCATAGCCATAACGAGTGTCTTAGCCATGTGAGGCAGCATGCGCCTGAAGATGGCCAGCGCCGTGCTGGGCTGTTGATACAGCTTGGTGAAGGTCGTCCCGGGCAGCTGCTCTAGGTACTCCAGCGCCCGCTGCGCGGAGGACGACATGATAGCGGCGGTGTCGAGGCCGTCGCCGGGCCTGGTGGTGCTTGGGTGGTGAAGTCATCGTTGATTGCAGGAGACAGAGTCCTTACTTCAACATCGCAGCGATTCGATGACTGCGGGTCGTTCCGCGTGGTTGGATGACTTCACTTCATCAGTCTCTTTCTTACACCTCCACCAAGACATCCAAATATCAGCACAGGGCGCTCCTTGCAATCAGCGCCGCAGTGCGTCAACTGCAAAACAGGGGCGAGGTAGGTGGGAGTATACAATCTTTGCTTGCTACACATTTCTTTCGTCAAAGCTTCTCTCAACGCCGAGAACTTGATCTCGTTAACGGCTGAGCTCGATTGAGCGCACAACCCGGGTCATTAAGGATGGAAGGCGTCTGGAGTCTGATATTTGCGGTGTTGCTGTCCTTAGTGCGATATTGCTTCGCTCTCGAGGCGCCATGGAGCTCTTGGAGACAGCGCCCTTTGGAGGACTATACCAACAGGACTGTGCTCGGATCTGAGTTACCGCCAACAACACGTGCTAAAGTGCATCGAGTTGCGGACTTGATGCTGGAGATCTACAGAACACTAGTCGACATGCAATACCTTGAACCCGAAGCCATCCGGAAAGGCCCTCACAAGATCAACATTACTCTTTCCCGTGAGCAAGACGTCGACGACTCGGTGATATACCTTTGGCAAATTCGGCCATACCTGGATCTAGCATACGCCGAGGCTTCAGGCTTCATCTTCGGAGGCACGTTCGTCGACTTTCGTGACGAAGGAGATATTCTTCGCAGCCGCGATCCAATGTATGCCATAGAATATGACAACCAGGAAGGATGCGGTCTCGAATGCGAACTCGATGATAATGGAGAGCTAAATCTGCCATACATGCGACCTACCATGACCACTCTCACCAATCTTGGCAATCATGAGTGCGTCATGGTCTATGATGTGAAGACTGATCGCTGCGACCCCGCATTGAAATATGTTCCTGTCGGCCCCAAGTTCAACAACAACCGCAACGACTTCACACACGAACCGAGCAGACCGGCTGCTGAAGTGCTGAAGGACATCGCGAAGTGGTACCGAGATCAGTCAGAGATCCCTGGCGGCGACGCAGACTATGGCATTTCCGAATGGGACTACGACGTTCTCAAGACCTTGTATGCGAAGCATGGTTGGCCCAATGACTTTGACGCAAATGCATTCAAGATCGATGTTGCACGCTTCAAAGCCAGAAAGTTTGCGAAGCGGCAGGCTGATGCACCTCGCGAATTAGTCGAACAGCTTCTGGAATGGCAGCAAGGATACGGAAAGGAAAGTCTGGAAAATGCAATACAAATGATGACCTCCGCCAGCACAGTTGATGAAATCTGGATCGCAAAGTTTGAGCATTGGCAGGCGAAGCAAGCTCAACGTCGCAACGAAAAACAGCTCGAACACGCTCAAGCCAAATTCAAATTCTTGTGTCCCCGAAATATTTGTCATCGTCCAGCGACTATACTTGCTTTAGAAATCGAGCAACTGCGAAGCGAGCTCGAGCATACGATTGCTGACCGATACGCGAGACCATTCCGCCGAGCTCGTGAAGCGAGTGTGCTCAATCGTGCATGGAAAGCCGCCAAATCCGACATCACAGGCGGCGACATTCCCGATGCGCGTCTCTGGGACGGAATCTGGCGCATCAATGTCCCATTCTATGCCGAAGCTCAGTCCTGTCGGGATGAAATGGATTGTAGGGTTCTAGATATCAAAGCAGTTCAAGACTGGCTCGAACGGGTTCCAGATGGTGCACGTATGGCTCGGGAAAGGCTCAGATACCGACTGGACGATATGTATCAGCACCACTGGTACGAATCGATGCGTGCGAGAAGATATTTGAGCTTTCGGATGAGGGAATGGTTGGATCCCTCGAAGCGATATGAAGTTTGCCATGCAGCTTGAGATCTCAAAGGGGCTTGGATGGTTGATTAAGGGCTAGAGCCACGTTGAGATACAGTCAGGTTTTGATGCCCTCCCTTGAAACCCTCCATTCGGTCGACTTATACGCCTGTTCCTTAGATCCTCTTCCTGACACAGTCCCCACAAGCCTTAAAGCTTACAGCAAGCACTCTCAGAGATTCCTGCTTCTACGTCGAATCTGCTGCCTTCCTTGCACATCTCGCACTTCCAAGGAATGAGCGTGGCTTCGGACAAGTCGCAGGATTGTGTTCCTCTGCTGTCTTCCTTCTGTATGTAGTAGCTGAAGGGTAGAATTGATGTGCTGAAACTTATAGTCGAAGTTTAGATGCAACTCAGCAGTGATTGAGGCGGAAAAAAAATCTTGGGATCAACATCGTCAGTTGCTAGTAACACTAATTACGACTACGACCCTATCATGTGTGGAGCGACTGGCAATAATTCTGATCCTCACACGCTCTCAATAGAAACCGCACATGCTGGAAAGATCGCTCGATGATTTGTTCATTACCAAAATCCGCCTTTCAATTCATCCTCCAAGCACAAAACGACGTCTTTCAGCAGTTCTTTGCGTTTGCTCTCGGTGAAAAGTGTCGTATCACGCCATCTTGTATTTCGGATGAAGTCGAACGCCTTATCACCCCTGATCGCATGAAGGGGGAACTTCGTCGGATCTTGGGGAATAGCGGGTAGTCCCAGATCAGAGACTTGGTCCGGCCGAAGAAAAGACTTCCTGAGTTGGTGGAAAGCTGCAGGGCGCACGTCATGCCGTTCGTGGAAGGCTAGGTAAGGACCAGCAGGATTAGTGAGCTTGTCGTACCATTCAGATAATTGAGCAGGTCCGTAAGAGCTGCAGTTGCGAAGTGCTGGACTTTGAGGAGCCAGTCTACGAAGGCCTTTTTGGTGCCAGCATGAAAAGTGTGCAGTTGGACGAGCTCGTAGATGAGGTCGCGAATGTCGGATCTTACGATGTGTTTGGAGAACACCGCCGCTCGACGAACCCATAGGCGCGCTATGATATCGCAAGTGCGGAGAGGGGACGCTCTTCGCTCTTCCTGAGTTCCGGTGTGATGCGCATGCTGCCGCTGCTGGAAGAAATAGTTCACAAACCCTAGCAGGTCAGTCTTGTGGGGGTCGATCCTGAAGACATTGTCGTATGCTTCGCTGATTGCAAGTACTTGGATAGGCGCAGTCGACTGTAGAAGGACAGTGCGATTCTGCTCATAGTCGATCAGATCTCGTATGTGTCGAGATGTTGCACGAGTACGTTGAATTTCCTTGAAAGGAAGGTGCGAAAGAATGATCAGCTTCGTCTCGGTAGGCAGGTCGAAAAGATGGCGTAGAGCCATATTTGCGAAGAACTGGTTTGTCTTGTCGAGGGGTCTTTCAGAATCGGACGTGATTTTTTCGCGGTTGGTCTTGCAGCGCTGGAGTCGTGCGATTTATATAGCAGCGCGAGTCATGGTAGCCAGCAGATATTCAATATTTCTTGCTTGCCATCGTTTTCTTGCTTATCACCATGCCAAGTGGACAGCTACACAACAGCTTTTAACTTCCATCCTCCCTTACTGACTCTGGAAACGCTCATGGACATCGCGGCAAGCACAGTCATAATGCCGCCAAAAACCCAGACGTATCTAAAACCGCTTGCCGCAAGAATGGTTCCAGAGATCGGTGTGCCAACAAGGATGCCGATAGCTGTCACAGCGAAGCCCATGCCCATCCTCGTTCCGATCATGCCTCGATTCTTCGTTATGTACACAAAGATGGTGGCTGGCAAACTGACGAAAGTGCCGGAGAAGAAGCCGTATAATGCGGCAATAACGATGACCGAAGCTATGGACTTGGCTGCGATTAGACATAAGCAGAGAAGTCCTGTTGCAAATGTACAGGGAATAATGACATTGAAAGGTCCTAGCCGGTCTGCGATGAAATTTGGGATCACTCGCCCGAATGTACTTGCAGCGTTCAAAATTGCCAGAAGGTAGAAGCCCAGGTGTGGAGAAGCGATGCCCGTCTGGATGGCGTAGGTTTGGATGTAGAAGAACGGTGTGTAAAGGCCGAGAAATCCCACGAAAGTGCCCAGCACAAAGAAAGTGTAAGGTACCTCCTTCCACGCTGCTAGTTCCAGGAACTTCCTTCTTCCAGCAGGCAAGACCCTCACTTTCAGAACGGCATTAGAGATAGCTAACGTGCCCAGCATGATGAATCCAATAACTCTCGTAGCCCAGGCAAATCCGATCACGGGTTGTAAGCGATAGAAGACAATTGGATATATTACGCCTCCTATGGAACTGCCAGCTGCCGCGAGTCCAACAGCTGTAGCAATTCGAGTGCTGAAGTACGTCGAGAGGACGGCAACGCATGGGATAAAGAGACATCCCGTCCCGAAACCTACGCAGATCGCTTGGGACAGCAGGACTTGGTAGTAGGTCGTGGAAAGCGACAGCATCATCTGACCAAACACCACGAAGAAAGTGCCAACGGCCACGAGACTTCGTACATATCCAGCGTCATAAACGGGCCCAGTGAGCGATCCAACCAGCATCAATGAAGTTGCTTGCAGAGATCCAATCCACGAGATATCGGAAGGCGTGCTCGATGATAGTCGCCCGACTTCGTAGAATGTCTGGTACGTGCCAAAGGTATTGACGATGCCCCCTGTAGCAGTATCAGCCTCGATCCTCTATGAAACTGCTGAGCTTGATGCCTCACAAGTATTGAAGAACAAAAAGAAACTGCCCAAAACCTGTAACCACGCCCAAAGACCGCCATTGGGTACCGATTTGATGTTGTTCACTGACGGTTTCGAAGAAGCAATTCGTTCCAGGTCATTGTTCTCTCCATCTCGATTTGCATGTCCATCTTGCTGGTCACGTTCGACGAAGGTAGGGTCCGCAGCCTCTATGATCTCCTCGTGTGTCTTGGACAGATGCTGATGAATGTCATTGTCATTGTGGTGCTGTTCTTCTCCCCAGTTTCCTTCTCAAGGTCACTCTCCACAAAAGACATGCCCAGGCTGACTTTCGGTTTCGGTTGCTCAAGTTTTGAATTTCGGCAGTCTGATGCTCACTTGCTGGAGGCTGAGTCAAAATGGCAATCGCCTTTATACCACGAAGGAACTACAAGTTCTGCATCGAGACTGAAGCCGAATTGATTGGAAGTGAGGGGTGTACAGTACAGTGTGAAGAGGCGGTTGAGAGACACTGGGATTGGCGCAAGAAAGGGCTCGCTAAGCGGTGCCGTATTGCCGAACAGCACGATCTGGTGTAACGAACCTGTCGGTCAAAGTCAGGGTTCCTAAACTAACCGACCGAGTGGTAGATTGTGGGTCATTACAAGCATTCGACAGGCCAACTAACCAACGGTACTGCTCAATTCTGGTAACCCAGGCACAAGACTGTCAAGACAGGCTTAAAAAGCTAAAAAGGTGTTGCCCGTAACCTTAACAGAGGGTGTAGAGTGCTTTTACAAAACACGTCTATGCCAACTTATGCAAAGCAGATTCCACCAACCAGGTCGCTCAGATCCAGTGTGGTCTACAATCAATCCGGGATTGCAATCCGGATTAGCTTAGCAATTCAATCCAATCTAATCTAGCTAATCTCTACTAATTTAGCAATTCAATCTAATCTAATCTAACCCTCTCTAAAGTAATCTAATCTAATTCAATCTAACCCTTCTAGTAATCTAGATTGTAATCCTAGATTAATTATAATTATATAAGTTGCTATCTATAGCTAATCCTAATTATAGTTAAATAGAAAGTTATTAAAGCTAGGAAGAAGAGAGCTATATCTCTTAGTATTTCCTTATTTCTTTTATACCTCTAGTCTAAGTCTCTTAAATTCTTTATTCCTCTTAATAGTAGCTTGCTAAGCAGCTTTAAGATTAAGATGCTTATACTAATTATTTAGAGTAGGTCTATTAGTTTCCTACTTAAGTAGGTTTATATCCTAAATAAAGGATTAATTAATCTTAATAATATCTTTCCTAATCTAGCTCTTTAAAGATAATAGGGTATTAATACTACCTTCTTATAACCTATTCCTTCTAAGAGCTACTATTAGCCCTATATTACTAAATGTTCTCTCTAGCTTATTAGATATTAGAGGGATACTAAGAATATTAAGAGCTATAACTGTTAGCTAAGGCTATCTTGCTCTCTTTATCTACTACTATTTAAGAAGATTAGGACATTTCTTAGCTCTATATCTTATATAATCCTCTAGCTAATTAGTAGTATTATTGCTCTTATTATTACTACTATATAGAACATCTATATTATATTATTATCTTCCTCCCTACTATATTTTAGTCTTTTAGCTTAATACTAAGGGGAGCTACTTATATTAAAGGGATTTAGTAGCTGCTTATATTCCTCTTACTAAAGCTTATAGAGTTGTTTAGTAAAGCGTTTTTGCTCTTTAGATATAAATCTATCTGCTTTCTTAAACTAAGCTAGGCTATTATTTAGATTTAGGATAATTGTGAGAAGGGTATGTTAGTAGGTAGATAGGGTAGTAGTAGGTATAGGTAGTATTCGATAAGGATCTAGGAGGAGAGGGAGGAAGGTAGGAGAGTTGGCCTAACGCTAAGCGCCAAGCCCTACCTAAGGCATTAAGACCCTAGCTTTACTCGGCCTAGTTACATACTAATTACGTATAGCCTCTTTAGCCCTAATACACGCTTCCCTTCTAAAGGCCGCGCCCTCGTAGCCGGTCTTTGTTCTAGTCTCAACCTCTATTGCTACTAATTTAGTAGGTCTAATAAGCCGCTTAGTCCGCGCTAAATTGAACGTACAACTACCGATTATATAACTATGTCAAACCTTACCTCTAATATAGTACAATGTCTAACTCTAACTGCGCTATCCCTATATATAATAAACTATAAAGTAATATATATCTACAAGAATTAAGGGCCTTCGACTAATTATAATACGAGCGCGTCTTCCCTACTATAATAGGTAGACGTACGAGGTATTATAGCCCTACCTCCGCTCTAAGTAACGTCGTACTAAGTTCTTTGCGTCTACTCTTAAAAGACCTAGCAATGTCCGCTTCCGAGGGTTGTCCGTTCCGAGGGATTGTTCTTATTATTACGAGGGCTATTATTTACTATCGTAGTTTCACTAGCCCTAATTAGTTAGGTTTAGTAGCCTTCAAGTGTTAATCTTATCTTATCTTTTCAAAAAAACACGGTCCTTCCGGTTTCTATAGGTAAAGGCTATTATAAGTATAGTAGTTAAGGTTCGCCTCGCTTAAAGGATCGGAAAGATCGAGGAGTAACTTATTGTCCGCAAGATCGACCCCGGCTAACTTAGCTCTATAGTTTTGCCCTTAGTTAGCTAGTCTATTAGTCGCTTAATCTTTTAGGCGGCTTAAAGTTTTAATCAAAGTTTTGATTAAAGGTGCCTTAGGCTCGTAGTATAGGTAAGGTTGTATCTATAGGCGTAGTAACAATAGTAAGTAATGTTAATAATAGCGGCGCTAGTCGTCTTAGCGCTAACTTTACCTTGCTTTCGACTTCCTTCTTCGACTAATAATACACTCCGTAACACCGTTACTAATATAGCCGCGCCGGCCGCCGGCATACTACTAGCTCGTAGCGTAATAACATTACCTTTATTACCGTTATTCGTACGCGCGCGCTATCCCCGCCGATCGCCTAGGCCTTAGGCCTTAATAGAATAAAGGAATAAGAGGGGGACCTAAATACTAAGAGAAGGGCCTTATTGCGTGCGCTAGTAAAGGGGTAGATTCCTTAAAAGAGTAGGCGATTGATTAGTAGTTGTAGCGCGTTTGTTAACACTCGGTGCGCGTTTGCTATAGTAGTATAGTCTTATTATCCTTCGTTACTAACAATTGCTTGCCTCTAATTAGTTAGCTAATAGCACCCTAGGGGTAGCATTGTTCCTAGGCCTTCTAGTAACATTATAGGCCCTTAGCCCTCTTCTTATTCTTTATACCGGTCTAATACTTATCTAACAACTTAGTTATATCTTCAAAAGAGGCTTCGGCTTCCTACGAGTCCTATTTAGGTAAATAGCCTTGCTACCTTAATAGGTATTCCTTTTTGCCCTGCCTAGTTCGGTGCTTTAGGATACGTTCTATAGACTATAGCTCTTTACCGTTAGCTAGTATCTCTTTATGTTTAGTAGAGGCTTCTTTATTAGAGTCTCCGCGGTAGTAGTATAGTTTAAGGAGGGAGATATAGAAGGTATTATAGATAGTATAGTGTAGTAGGAGCTATAACTAATAGGCCTAGCTATTGCCCTTCGGTTCTCGGATGCGGAATAGGCTAATAAACCGTAGCGCTAGTTTGGGGCGTGTTTTGCTATTAGGTAATAGGTGTTTACGGATACGGAGGTTCTTTATACTAAGTATAACTATATCGCCTTGCTTAAAGGTTATCGGTATATAGTGTTTGTTATAATAGGCCTTCTAATAGGCCTAGGCCTTTGCTAGTTTGTTAGCTATCTTAGCGTGAATCTCTCGTATCTTTTAAACCCTCTTAATAGCTACCGGTGTCTTAGGGGTTAGTACTTAACGCGCTTCCCTTTCCTTGCGCTCGGCCTCGAGCGAGGTAAACGGATCTTATAGTAAGGCAGCGTTTTAGCCTATTACAGCTATGTATAGTGAAACCTTAGTTAATAAATGCACGCTATTGTTATATACAAATTCGGCTAGTTATAGGAGGTCGACCTATCTATTAGGGTCCTTATTAATATAGCTTCGTAAGTATTGCTATAGCGTAGCATTCTGCCTTTCGGTCTAACTATCTGTTTAAGGATAGAATGCTATAGATAGGCGATGCTTAAGTCTTAGCTATAGGCAAATCTTGCTCTAATAGTAAGATATAAATGTCGGGCCTCGATCGGAGACTATCCCCTTAGGGGTCCCCTAATAGCTATAGAAGATGTTGTTCTATAGCGACTTAGCTAGGTTAATAGCCGTCTAATCCTTTCGGGCAGGAATGCAACGAGCGCCCGCAGTAAACCGGTCTACGATAACTAGGATAGCATTATATATATCCTTGCTACCCCTACGCTTAGTAGGCGGGAGGCCTATAATAAAATCTATTATAAGCTTAGCAAATAGCTTCTTTAGAACAGGGAGTGAAGACAACTCGCTAAATAGTAAGTGCTTTAGTGCTTTAACTCGTTAATATACGGCATACGTGTTTACGTAGTCCTTTATATCCCGCTTACTATTTAGCTAGTAGTATGTACGCGATAGTAACTCGTACGACCTCTCTATACTATAGTAACCGGCAAGCTTACTATTATAGTATCGCTTAAGAAGCTCCTATCTAATCGATTGTTTAGCGGGGACATAGTATCTACCCTTAAACTTTAAGTAACCTTTGTTATCGATCGACTAGTTACTCTTACTAGATCGAGTCGTTCGCCTACTTACAAGCTTATCGATACGTTTAGTAGTAAAGGCGTCCCTCTACTAAGTACGTAACAGCTTATCTATAAACGATTAACTATCCCTATTTGCAAGGTTATTTAGTAGCACCCTCGCTATTAAACGAGGTACGTATTGTATGTATCTAATAGTACTAGTAGCCGGATAACAT